CTACTGTGTTGTCTGTACAGCAGGGGGCGACATGGAGGCACAAGGAGATTCCAATTGAAACATGACGTCACAGGCTGGGCTAAACAATCCTAGGGTTAGAAAGACATGAATAGACGACTGAAGCAGTTGGACTCTTTGGCTGTATGATATAATATAAATATAATGATATGGCTTAGGGTTGTATATTATACTAACTGACAAGGTTGAAACATACCGTCTAGTCATTTCAACAGAAGTTCAGTTTAAGGAATTACAGAATGCAGACAGATTAAAACAAGACTGAAAAACAGAAACCAAATAACCTTTATTAAATAGTAATGTGAGGTTTCAGTTGGATATTCCTTATTCCAATAACAACTAGTAGAATACCAGGTTTTTAGTTTGAGTGTGAATCAAGGCTGCCCTGCATAGAAGGATGGGGGAATGGTCTAAAAAAGGTGCTAACTCCTCCCACCTGGTGCCCTGGCCAGTTAAAACACAAGCACCCAGAGAGAGAGAGAGAGAGGTGCAACTGAAACAACCACACTGCTCATTCTCAAGACAACCAGTGAAGTCACAGTCTTGCTTGTATTGACTACTGTGTGATGTTACAGAGTTCTGCTTGTCCGTCTCAGGTATTCTGGTCCAGATCTAGTTGTACTCAGGTAGCCTGGTCCAGATCTAGTTGTACTCAGGTAGCCTGGTCCAGATCTAGTTGTACTCAGGTAGCCTGGTCCAGATCTGGTTGTACCGTCTCAGGTAGCCTGGTCCAGATCTGGTTGTACCGTCTCAGGTAGCCTGGTCCAGATCTGGTTGTACCGTCTCAGGTAGCCTGGTCCAGATCTAGTTGTACCGTCTCAGGTAGCCTGGTCCAGATCTGGTTGTACCGTCTCAGGTAGCCTGGTCCAGATCTAGTTGTACCGTCTCAGGTAGCTTAGGTCCAGGCATTAGCTTAGGGCGCAGGTACTTAGTGGCTACGTGTGCTCGAAAGGTCGCTGTTCTATCCCCGAGCCGACTAGGTCATGCCGATCCTTGAGCAACCTTAACCTAAGTATGTAAGTCGCTCTGTATAGGGTCGCTAAATGACGTAAATTAATGTAACTGGGCTCCAGATCTGGTTGTACCGTCTCAGGTAGCCTGGTCCAATCGAATTGGTCAGATTGGTTTACGCGCAGTAGCTGGCCAGACGGTTTACCTCTAGGTAGCCTGGTCCAGATCTAGTGTCTAGACCGGTCTCACGTCCAGCCTGGTCCAGATCTGTTGTACCGTCTCAAGTAGCCTGGTCCAATCTGGTTTGTTTACGTCTAGGTAGCAGGGTCCAGATCTGGTGTACCGTCTTAGGTCGCTGAGTCCTCAGATTCTGGGTTGTTACGTCTTGCAAAGTCATTGTCACACCAAGCTGATCTGGGACCAGGCTACTTCAAAGTGCTTTAATGTATTCAGGCAGAGCCAGGTCATAGTCATCATTAAAACAACAGCAGTGTCAAGCTAAACCAAGTGAAACAGGTTTGTAGAGTAAGAGACTGTAAGAGGTTAGATAGCAGCAACATGTTGTAGTAACAGCCAGCACACACAGCAGTCACTTTGGTAAGTATAGACCTGACTCCAGATCAGCTCATAGAAGACTGGTCCTGTGCTCCTCCATGCTGCAGAACAGACATGTTGTGAAGATCATTCAAACCTATTCTTTAACATGTTGGTATCAGATGTATCAATGTCTAATACAGTGCCTTCAGAAAGTACCCCTCGACTTTTTCCACCTTTTGTTGTTACAAAGTGGGATTAAAATGGATTTAATTGTCATTTTTTGTCAACGATCTACACAAACTACTCTAATGTCAAAGTGGAAGAAAAATTCTAACGTTTGTAAAAAAAGAAATAAAAATAAAACTAATATATTGTGATTAGATAAGTATTCAACCCCCTGAGTCAATACGTGACAATAACCTTTGCCAGCGATTACAGCTGTGTCTTTCTGGGTAAATCTCTAAAGAGCTTTGCACACATGGATTGGACAATATTTCAACATTATTTTTAATTATTCAAGCTCTGTCAAGTTGGTTTTTGATCATTGCTAGACAGCCATTTTCAGTTCTTGCCATAGATTTTTAAGTAAATTTAAGTCAAAACTGTAACTAGCCCACTCAGGAACATTCAATGTCATCTTGGTGAGCAACTCAAATGTTTACTGAACAAATATAGAAAACGCAAAATAGAAAAGGCAACATGTAAAGTGTTAATCCCATGTTTCATGAGCTGAAATAAAAGATCCCAGAAATGTTCCATACACACAAAAAGCTTATTTCTCTCAAATGCTGTGCACTAATTTGTTTACATCTCTGTTAGTGAGCATTTCTTCTTTGCCAAGATAATCCATCCACCTGACAGGTGTGGCATATCAAGAAGCTGATTAAACAGCATGATGATCATTACACAGGTGCACCTCGTGCTGGGGACAATATAAGGCCACTCTAAAATGTTCAGTTTTGTCACACAACACAATGCCACAGATGTGTCAAGTCTAAAGGGAGCGTGCGATTGGCATCCTGACTGCAGGAATGTCCACTAGAGCTGTTGCCAGAGACTTTAATGTTCATTTCTCTAACATAAGCCGCCTCCGACGTCGTTTTAGAGAATTTGGCAGTACGTCCAACCGGCCTCAAAACCGCAGTCCACGTGTAACCACGCCAGCCCAGGACCTCCACAACCGGCTTCTTAACCTGCGGGATCATCTGAGACCAGCCAGCTGGACAGCTGATGAAACTGTGGGTTTGCACAACCAAAGATTTTCTGGACAAATTGTCAAAAACCATCTCAGGGAAGCTCATCTGCGTGCTCGTCGTCCTCACCAGGGTCTTGACCTGACTGCAGTTTGGCGTCGTAACTGACTTCAGTGGACAAATGCTCACCTTCAGTGGCCACTAGCAGGCTGGAGAAGTGTCCTCTTCATGGATTAATCCCGGTTTCTACTGTCCCGGGCAGAAGGCAGACAGTGTGTATGGCGTTGTGTGGGCGAGAGGTTTGCTGATGTCAACGTTGTGAACAGAGTGCCCCATGGTGGCGGTGGGTTTATGGTATGGGCAGGCATAAGCTATGGACAATGAACAGAATTGCATTTTATCTATGCCAATTTTAATGCACAGAGATACTGTGACGAGATCCTGAGGCCCATTGTCGTGCCATCCAGCCGCCACCATCACCTCATGTTTCAGCATGATAATGCACGGCCCCAAGTCGCAAAGATCTGTACACAATTCCTGGAAGCTGAAAATGTCCCAGTTCTTCCATGGCCTGCATACTTACCAGACATGTCACCCATTCAGCATGTTCAGGATGCTCTGGATCTACGTGTACGACAGCGTGTTCCAGTTCCCGCCAATATCCAGTAACTTCTCACAGCCATTGAAGAGGAGTGGGACAACATTCCACAGGCCACAATCAACAGCCGGATCAACTCTATGGGAAGGAGCTGTGTCGCGCTGCATGAGGCAAATGGTCACACCAGATACTGACTGGTTTTCACACATACAGATAATTGTATGTGTGGGGTACAGAGATAAGGTAGTCATTCAAAAAACATGTTAAACACTTATTGCAGAGAGAGAGAGAGAGAGTCCATGCAACTTATGTGACTTGTTAAGCACATTTTTATTCCTGAACTTAAGGGGTTGAATACTTATTGACTCAAGACATTTCAGCTTTTCATTAAAAAAATTCTACAAACATAATTCCACCTTGACATTATGGGGTATTGTGTGAAGGCCAGTGACAAAAAATCTCAATGTAATCAATTTTCAATTCAGGCTGCAACACAACAAAATGTGGAAAAAGTCAAGGGGTGTGAAGCCTTTCTGAAGGCAATGTATACAGGTGTGTCTAGTTGGATCTAAGATCAGAGTTATACTGTATCTGGCTTGGTCTTCTGTCAAAACATGTAAAAACATACTTATTGGTGAATGATTCCATGGTAGGTAAGACGGCTCTATGTAAACTGCTTTCTGAGTGCTGATACATAGTTCCATACCACAACTTATCACAGTTTACATCTGTCACTATAGTCTTTAGTCATGTCTGGTAGAATATCCCAAAGGACTTCTAGACCAATCATGTCTGGTAGAATATCCCAAAGGACTTCTAGACCAATCATGTCTGGTAGAATATCCCAAAGGACTTCTAGACCAATCATGTCTGGTAGAATATCCCAAAGGACTTCTAGACCAATCATGTCTGGTAGAATATCCCAAAGGACTTCTAGACCAATCATGTCTGGTAGAATATCCCAAAGGACTTCTAGACCAATCATGTCTGGTAGAATATCCCAAAGGACTTCTAGACCAATCATGTCTGGTAGAATATCCCAAAGGTCTTCTAGACCAATCATGTCTGGTAGAATATCCCAAAGGACTTCTAGACCAATCATGTCTGGTAGAATATCCCAAAGGACTTCTAGACCAATCATGTCTGGTAGAATATCCCAAAGGACTTCTAGACCAATCATGTCTGGTAGAATATCCCAAAGGACTTCTAGACCAATCATGTCTGGTAGAATATCCCAAAGGACTTCTAGACCAATCTAGTCTGAGCATTACAAGGACTGCTGATTGTCTGTTAGAATCCAATGATTCTAGGACAGTCATTCTGGTTGAAAAGGTCCCATGAACTCCCAGTGTCTAGCACAGCACACTACAGTCTGCTCAGCAATCCAACCAGTCTCCTCAGCACAGAGCAGTACACTGTCTTCTACGCACATAACTAACAGTCTTCACTGCCACAGCACACTAACCCTAACCAGTCTCTCTATGCACACACAGCCTAACCCTACCCAGTCTTCTCACTGCCACAGCACGCCTAACCCTAACCAGTCCTCTCACTGCACACACCAACCTAACCCAGTCTCTCTCACTGCCACAGCACAGCCTAACCTAACCCAGTCTCTCTCACTGCACCACACTAACCCTAACCCAGTCTCATCTCACTGCCACAGCACACCCTAACCCTACCGTCTCTCTCACTGCCACAGCACACCTAACCCTAACCCAGTCTCTCTCACTGCCACAGCACCGCCTAACCCTAACCCAGTCTCTCTCACTGCCACAGCACACCCTAACCCTAACCCAGTCTCTCTCACTGCCACAGCAACTACCCTAACCCAGTCTCTCTCACTGCCACAGACACAAGCCTAACCTAGTCTCTCTCACTGCCACAGCACACCCTAACCAACCCAGTCTCTCTCACTGCCACAGCACAGCCTAACCCTAACCCAGTCTCTCTCACTGCCACAGCACACCCTAACCCTAACCCAGTCTCTCTCACTGCCACAGCACACCCTAACCCAGTCTCTCTCACTGCCACAGCACACCTAACCTAACCCAGTCTCTCTCACTCCACAGCACACCAACCCTAACCCAGTCTCTCTCACTGCCACAGCACACCCTAACCCTAACCCAGTCTCTCTCACTGCCACAGCACACCCTAACCCTAACCCAGTCTCTCTCACTGCCACAGCACAGCCTAACCCTAACCCAGTCTCTCTCACTGCCACAGCACACCCTACCCTAACCCAGTCTCTCTCACTGCCACAGCAACGCCCTAACCCAGTCTCTCTCACTGCCACAGCACACCCTAAACCCTAACCCAGTCCTCTCTCACTGCCACAGGCACACCCTAACCCAGTCTCTCTCACTGCCACAGCACAGCCTAACCTAGTCTCTCTCACTGCCACAGCACACCCTAACCCTAACCCAGTCTCTCTCACTGCCACAGCACACCCTAACCCAGTCTCTCTCACTGCCACAGCACACCCTAACCCTAACCCAGTCTCTCTCACTGCCACAGCCACCTAACCCTAAACCCTAGTCTCTCTCCACTGCCACAGCACAGCCTAACCCCAGTCTCTCTCACTGCCACAGCACACCCATAACCCTAACCAGTCTCTCTCACTGCCACAGCACCACCCTAACCCTAACCCAGTCTCTCTCACTGCCACAGCACACACCTAACCCTAACCCAGTCTCTCTCACTGCCACAGCACCACCCTACCCCCGTCTCTCTCACTGCCACAGACACACCCTAACCCAGTCTCATCTCACTGCACAGCACAACCTAACCCAGTCTCTTCACTGCCACAGCACACCATAACCCTAACCCAGTAGTCTCTTCCACTGCCACAGCACAGCCTAACCATAACCCCGTTCTCTCTCACTTGCCACACACCTCACCTAGTCTCTCTCACACTTGCCACAGCACAGCCTAACCCTTAACCCAGTTCTCTCTCACTGCCACAGCACAGCCTAAACCCTAACAGTTCTCTCTCACTGCCACAGGCACAACCTAACCCAACCCAGTCTCTCCACAGCCACAAGCCACACCCTAACCCTAACCCAGGTTCTCTCTCACGCCACAGCACACCCTAACCCTAACCAGTCTCTCTCACTGGCCACCAGCACACCCTAACCCTAACCCAGTCTCTCTCACTGCCACAGCACACCCCTAAACCCTAACCAGTCTCTCTCACTGCCACAGCACACCCTAACCCAGTCTCTCTCACTGCCACAGCACACCCTAACCCAGTCCTCTCACTGCCACAGCACACCCTAACCCTAACCCAGTCTCTCTCACTGCCACAGCACAGCCTAACCCTAACCCAGTCTCTCTCACTGCCCACCTAACCTAGCCTAACCCTAACCCCAGCACAGCCTAACCCTAACCTAGTCTCTCCTCACTGCCAACAGCACATTCCTAACCCTAACCCAGTCTCTCTCACTGCCACAGCACAGCCTAACCCTAACCCAGTCTCTCTCACTGCCACAGCACACCCTAACCCTAACCCAGTCTCTCTCACTGCCACAGCACACCCTAACCCTAACCCAGTCTCTCTCACTGCCACAGCACACCCTAACCCTAACCCAGTCTCTCTCACTGCCACAGCACGCCCTAACCCAGTCTCTCCTGCCACAGCACACCCTAACCCTACCCAGTTCTCTCTCACTGCCACAGCACCACCCTAAACCCTACCCAGTCTCTCTCACTGCACAGCACCACCCTAACCCAGTCTCTCTCACTGCCACAGCACACCCTAACCCAGTCTCTCTCACTGCCACAGCACAGCCTAACCCTAACCCCAGTCTCTCTCACTGCCACAGCACAGCCTAACCCTAACCCAGTCTCTCTCACTGCCACAGCACACCCTAACCCTAACCCAGTCTCTCTCACTGCCACAGCACAGCCTAACCCAGTCTCTCTCACTGCCACAGCACACCCTAACCCTAACCTAGTCTCCCTCACTGCCACAGCACAGCCTAACCCTAACCCAGTCTCTCTCACTGCCACAGCACAGCCTAACCCTAACCCAGTCTCTCTCACTGCCACAGCACAGCCTAACCCTAACCCAGTCTCTCTCACCTCCACAGCACACCCTAACCCTAACCCAGTCTCTCTCACTGCCACAGCACAGCCTAACCCAGTCTCTCTCACTGCCACAGCACACCCTAACCCTAACCCAGTCTCTCTCACTGCCACAGCACAGCCTAACCCAGTCTCTCTCACTGCCACAGCACACCCTAACCCTAACCCAGTCTCTCTCACTGCCACAGCACAGCCTAACCCAGTCTCTCTCACTGCCACAGCACACCCTAACCCAGTCTCTCTCACTGCCACAGCACACCCTAACCCTAACCCAGTCTCTCTCACTGCCACAGCACACCCTAACCCAGTCTCTCTCACTGCCACAGCACAGCCTAACCCTAACCCAGTCTCTCTCACTGCCACAGCACAGCCTAACCCAGTCTCTCTCACTGCCACAGCACACCCTAACCCAGTCTCTCTCACTGCCACAGCACACCCTAACCCTAACCCAGTCTCTCTCACTGCCACAGCACACCCTAACCCTAACCCAGTCTCTCTCACTGCCACAGCACACCCTAACCCAGACTCTCTCATTGTCACAGCACACCCTAACCCAGTCTCTCTCACTGCCACAGCACACCCTAACCCTAACCCAGTCTCTCTCACTGCCACAGCACACCCTAACCCAGTCTCTCACTGCCACAGCCTAACCCTAACCTAGTCTCCCTCACTGCCACAGCACAGCCTAACCCTAACCCAGTCTCTCTCACTGCCACAGCACACCCTAACCCAGTCTCTCACTGCCACAGCACAGCCTAACCCTAACCTAGTCTCCCTCACTGCCACAGCACAGCCTAACCCTAACCCAGTCTCTCTCACTGCCACAGCACACCCTAACCCTAACTCAGACTCTCTCATTGCCACAGCATGGCAGCCATGTTGTCTGTTCCCCACCCATAGTCTCCTCTCCATTAACAGAAGCTGAAGAACAGAGGCACATCCAGGTGCTCTCGTCAGGTGCTGGAGTTGTAGAAGTGATGGAAAACGCTGCACACTGCTGCTCATGCTCCCAGGTGATATTTATTTAGAACAACGTTTCCACCCTTAGGTCCTGGATGCCTGATGAAGAGCTAAGGGTGGAAACATTGTTTTCCTCTCCATTAACCCATGGTCTGTAGTTAGTCCACCATTAACCCATGGTCTGTAGTTAGTCCACCATTAACCCATGGTCTCTTCTCCATTAACCCATGGTCTGTAGTTAGTCCACCATTAACCCATGGTCTCTTCTCCATTAACCCATGGGCTGTAGTTAGTCCACCATTAACCCATGGTCTGTAGTTAGTCCACCATTAACCCATGGTCTCTAATGGTCTGTAGTCCATTAACATTAGCACTCCTATCCAACTGCTCAAGGCGTGTTGTAGTTAGCTGTATCCTTCCCAAAGCTGTAATAGTTGTCCATGTCCTCCATGTTTGCCGTGGTGAGCTTGGTGAGGTTCTGGGAGCCTCCATTATCCATGTTGTTGTTGGCCCCAGAGGCCCCGAAGTCAAAGTTGTCCTCCTCATAGTGGCCCTGGTCCTCCATCTCAGGAAGAGCATCTGGGAACACAGAGAAAAAGGGCTGTTATGGAGAGTACAGTGGTATAACCAACCCTAACCCCAACCCAGAACACCGTGGCAGAACCAACCCTAACACCAACCAAGAACACCGTGGTAGAAGCAACAGGATCAACACAATGGTAGAACCAACCCCAACCCAGAACACAATGGTAGAACCAACCCCAACCCAGAACACAATGGTAGAACCAACCCTAACCCCAACCCAGAACACAGTGGTAGAACCAACCCTAACCCCAACCCAGAACACAGTGGTAGAACCAACCTAACCCCAACCCAGAACACAGTGGTAGAACCAACCCTAACCCCACAGAACACAGTGGTAGAAACCAACCAACAACACAGTGAGAACCAACCCCAACCCAGAACACATGGTAGAACCAACCAACCAACAAACACAGTGGTAGAACCAACCCATAACCAAACACAGAGAACCAACCTAACCAACCCGAACACGTGGTAGAACCAACCTAACCACAACACATGGTAGAACCAACCCTAACCCAACCAAACACAGTGGTAGAACCAACCCTAACCCCACCCAACACAGTGGTAGAACCAACCAACCCACCGAACACAGTGGTAGAACCAACCCTAACCCAGAACACAGTGGTAGAACCAACCCTAACCCCAACCCATAACACCATGGTAGAACCAACAGGATCACAACACAGTGGTAGAACCAACCATAACCCCAACCCAGAACACAGTGGTAGAACCAACAGGATCACAACACAGTGGTAGAACCAACAGGATCACAACACAGTGGTAGAACCAACAGGATCACAACACAGTGGTAGAACCAACAGGATCACAACACAGTGGTAGAACCAACAGGATCACAACACCGTGGTAGAACCAACAGGATCACAACACAGTGGTAGAACCAACAGGATCACAACACAGTGGTAGAACCAACAGGATCACAACACAGTGGTAGAACCAACAGGATCACAACACAGTGGTAGAACCAACAGGATCACAACACAGTGGTAGAACCAACAGGATCAACACAGTGGTAGAACCACAGGATCACACACGTGGTAGAACCAACAGGATCACACACCGTAGAACCACAGGATCCACGTGGTAAACCAACAGATCACAACACAGTGGTAAACCACAGATCACAACAGTGGTAGACAACCAACCTAACCAACACAGTGGTAAACCAACTACTAACAAACACAGTGGTAGAACCAACGAACACCTGGTAGAACCAACCTAACCTAACCAGAACACAGTGGTAGAACCAACCCTACCAGAACACATGGTAGAACCACCCTAACCAACCAACACATGGGTAGAACCAACCCTAACCCTAACCCAGAACACAGTGGTAGAACCAACCCTAACCAAACACGTGTAGAACCAACCCTAACCCAGAACACAATGGTAGAACCAACCCTAACCCTAACCCAGAACACAGTGGTAGAACCAACCCTAACCCAGAACACAATGGTAGAACCAACCCTAACACCAACCAAGAACACAGTGGTAGAACCAACAGGATCACAACACAGTGGTAGAACCAACAGGATCACAACACAGTGGTAGAACCAACAGGATCACAACACAGTGGTAGAACCAACAGGATCACAACACAGTGGTAGAACCAACAGGATCACAACACAGTGGTAGAACCAACAGGATCACAACACCGTGGTAGAACCAACAGGATCACAACACAGTGGTAGAACCAACAGGATCACAACACAGTGGTAGAACCAACAGGATCAACACCGTGGTAGAACCAACAGGATCACAACACCGTGGTAGAACCAACAGGATCACAACACAGTGGTAGAACCAACAGGATCACAACACAGTGGTAGAACCAACAGGATCACAACACAGTGGTAGAACCAACAGGATCAACACCGTGGTAGAACCAACAGGATCACAACACCGTGGTAGAACCAACAGGATCAACACAGTGGTAGAACCAACAGGATCACAACACAGTGGTAGAACCAACAGGATCAACACCGTGGTAGAACCAACAGGATCACAACACAGTGGTAGAACCAACAGGATCACAACACAGTGGTAGAACCAACAGGATCAACACCGTGGTAGAACCAACAGGATCACAACACAGTGGTAGAACCAACAGGATCACAACACAGTGGTAGAACCAACAGGATCAACACAGTGGTAGAACCAACAGGATCACAACACCGTAGTAGAACCAACAGGATCACAACACAGTGGTAGAACCAACAGGATCACAACACAGTGGTAGAACCAACAGGATCACAACACAGTGGTAGAACCAACAGGATCACAACACAGTGGTAGAACCAACAGGATCACAACACAGTGGTAGAACCAACAGGATCACAACACCGTGGTAGAACCAACAGGATCACAACACCGTGGATTTGGGGACTGTGAAGAGACCCCTGGTGGTATGTATGGGTGTCTGAGCTGTATGTTATTTGATTATGCAGACAATCTGGAAATGTCCATCAGTAATATTTCTCATAAAAACTAGAAGAGAAGCAGTTCATCTCTCGTCAACCCTCAACCAGGAAAGACTGGCATGCATGTTGTTGATGTTAGTTGTGTATGTGCAGTACAGGGCAAGGCGTGTTGCTCTGTTTTGAGCCAGCTGCAGCTTTCTAGGTCTTTCTTTGCTGCACTTGACCATATTACTGGACAGTCATCAAGATGACACAAGGGTAAAGGGTTAGGATAAAGTTCAGGGTTTGGGAAAAAAGTAAAGCCCTACCTTGTCTGTCAGGTGAGATGTCCATGCTGGGTTAGGGTAAAGGGTAAAGGGTTAGGGTAAAGGGTTAGGGTAAAGGGTTAGGGTTAAAGGGTAAACGGTTAGGGTGAAGGGTAAAACCTCACCTTGTCCATCAGGTGAGATGTCCATGCCGTGTTTGACCTTCATGTGTCGGCTGAGGTTCCCCTTCAGGTTAAACTTAGAGGAGCAGTAAGGACACTTGAAGGGTTTGGATCCGGCGTGGAGGTGCATGTGACCCAGCAGATTGTACATTCTATTGAACGACTTCCCGCACACCTGGAAAAGACAAAGCATGAGTTACAGTATATGTTCATAATCGGGATCGTTTGGCTTGACAACATCGGGACATGGCTATTAACTGTAGTCCCTGCTACCAGTCCCTATTTTAGGCAGTAACCAACCCCCAAGACCTAACTGTAGTCCCTGGCTGCTACCAGTCCCTATTTGAGGCAGTAACCAATCTCCAAGACCTAACTGTAGTCCCTGGCTGCTACCAGTCCCTATTTGAGGCAGTAACCAACCCCCAAGACCTAACTGTAGTCCCTGGCTGCTACCAGTCCCTATTTGAGGCAGTAACCAATCTCCAAGATCTAACTGTAGTCCCTGCTACCAGTCCCTATTTGAGGCAGTAACCAACCCCCAAGACCTAACTGTAGTCCCTGCTACCAGTCCCTATTTGAGGCAGTAACCAACCCCCAAGACCTAACTGTAGTCCCTGCTACCAGTCCCTATTTGAGGCAGTAACCAACCCCCAAGACCTAACTGTAGTCCCTGGCTGCTACCAGTCCCTATTTGAGGCAGTAACCAATCTCCAAGTTCTAACTGTAGTCCATGCTACCAGTCCCTATTTGAGGCAGTAATTAACCTCCAAGACCTAACTGTAGTCCCTGGCTGCTACCAGTCCCTATTTGAGGCGGTAATTAACCTCCAAGATCTAACTGTAGTCCTTCACTCCTCTGTGCTGTGCACCACCTTCCCATTTACACCAGAGATCTGGATATAATGATGAGATGCACCTTCCCATTTACACCAGAGATCTGGATATAATGATGAGATGCACCTTCCCATTTATACCAGAGATCTGGATATAATGATGAGATGCACCTTCCCATTTACACCAGAGATCTGGATATAATGATGAGATGCACCTTCCCATTTACACCAGAGATCTGGATATAATGATGAGGTGCACCTTCCCATTTACACCAGAGATCTGGATTTAATGATGAGATGCACCTTCCCATTTACACCAGAGATCTGTATATAATGAAGAGATGCATGTCTCTGGCTGCTACCAGTCCCTATTTGAGGCAGTAATTAACCTCCAAGACCTAACTGTAGTCCTTCACTCCTCTGTGCTGTGCACCACCTTCCCATTTACACCAGAGATCTGGATATAATGATGAGAATCACCTTCCCATTTACACCAGAGATCTGGATATAATGAAGAGGTGCACCTTCCCATTTACACCAGAGATCTGGATATAATGATGAGATGCACCTTCCCATTTACACCAGAGATCTAGATATAATGATGAGGTGCACCTTCCCATTTACACCAGAGATCTGGATATAATGATGAGGTGCACCTTCCCATTTACACCAGAGATCTGGATATAATGATGAGGTGCAACTTCCCATTTACACCAGAGATCTGGATATAATGATGAGATGCACCTTCCCATTTACACCAGAGATCTGGATATAATGATGAGGTGCACCTTCCCATTTACACCAGAGATCTGGATATAATGATGAGATCCACCTTCCCATTTACACCAGAGATCTGGATATAATGATGAGGTGCACCTTCCCATTTACACCAGAGATCTGGATATAATGATGAGGTGCAACTTCCCATTTACACCAGAGATCTGGATATAATGATGAGGTGCACCTTCCCATTTACACCAGAGATCTGGATTTAATGATGAGATGCACCTTCCCATTTACACCAGAGATCTGGATATAATGATGAGGTGCACCTTCCCATTTACACCAGAGATCTGGATATAATGATGAGATGCACCTTCCCATTTATACCAGAGATCTGGATATAATGATGAGATGCACCTTCCCATTTACACCAGAGATCTGGATATAATGATGAGATGCACCTTCCCATTTACACCAGAGATCTGGATATAATGATGAGGTGCACCTTCCCATTTACACCAGAGATCTGGATTTAATGATGAGATGCACCTTCCCATTTACACCAGAGATCTGTATATAATGAAGAGATGCATGTCTCTGCTCTAACAATGGGAATCGTTGTCCCAAAGGCGGGAAGGCAGGTGACGAGCGTAGAAACACATTGGCCTTATTTTGGACTGATTTGAGCGAGACTGAAACCTCTTGCTTCGCCTCTTCCTCTATGGTTTCCACACAAACACACCAAGCCCCTCCCCCTGCCTCTCACAACAACAAACTTGAGAGATCCCATTTTCCTCTCTGACAAGTTGTTTCAAGTCGCTATTTGCATTTGAGGTTTGGTCCAACGGAATCGGTCATATGGACACCAAAACACATTAAGACATTATTTTACTGTAATAGAGGAGAAGTTAACTTTTCTAACGATACCCTTTTTATGTCTCAACTCCTCAAATTGAGCTCAGAGCAGACACATTATTATTATTATATTACACTACTAAAACGAGAGTATCAATGAACATTGATTCTGGAAGATGAATGCTCAGTTTGTCGCGCGCTGCATTGTGGTATCGCAAGCAGCATTTTAGCCAAAGACCGTTATACTAGATGTCTAGTCTGTGTTTTATAAATGTGCAATAAGCATAACACACAATTATATAAGGAATTGACAACTCGTTCTCATTCTGAGAAATAAGGTAGGCCACTTGATTTCAACATCTCAACAAAGTGGACAGGCTAACATGCTGTTCAAACAGTTGGAGAAGGACAGAATGGTGTGTTCATAACAACTCAACCTTGTCAGCTAGCAAATAGATCCAAGTCAACCTTGTTAGCTAGCAAATAGATCCAAGTCAACCTTGTTAGCTAGCAAATAGATCCAAGTCAACCTTGTTAGCTAGCAAATAGATCCAAGTCAACCTTGTTAGCTAGCAAATAGATCCAAGTCAACCTTGTTAGCTAGCAAATAGATCCAAGTCAACCTTGTTAGCTAGCAAATAGATCCAAGTCAACCTTGTTAGCTAGCAAATAGATCCAAGTCAACCTTGTTATCTAGCAAATAGATCCAAGTTGGTTCAACTTGAAATATAAAGATAACCTGGCTAATCACTAGCACGTGGGCTTGAGAGATGGTTGATGAGGCCTGTGTTCATTTTCTACAGCCTAATGCTAATCTATAGCCTAATGCCTGGTTGCATGGTTCTAGTTACATTTGTAATAAAAAATAGCTTTTTCATAGACAGACTGGAGAGCCAGATCAGTGATTATTGAAACAACAAAAAAAGCAGGTGAAACTATTTTGATAAAATATTTAAATGATTAGTGTGTCTTATTGGTTGTGGAAGGCTTATATTCTGCCTGGGTATAACTTCACAAGCCCTGAATTCATTGGCTTATTGCTGACTGTTTGAAATGCAGTGTATTTTATATTTAATTGTACAACAACGCTTATTTAGAGAATAAAAAATAAATAAAAAAATCCGATATACTGTATATCATGAATCGCCCATAAGTTTAAAATAAATTGAGATATCTTTTAGACCATATCGCCCAGCCCTACCATAACACATACGGTTTTATCGCCCAGCCCTACCATAACACATCCGGTTTTATCGCCCAGCCCTACCATAACACATACGGTTTTATCGCCCAGCCCTACCATAACACATACGGTTTTATCGCCCAGCCCTACCATAACACATCCGGTTTTATAGCCCAGCCCTACCATAACACATCCGGTTTTATCGGCCAGCCCTACCATAACACATCCGGTTTTATCGGCCAGCCCTACCATAACACATCCGGTTTTATCGCCCAGCCCTACCATAACACATCCGGTTTTATCTCCCAGCCCTACCATAACACATCCGGTTTTAGCGCCCAGCCACCTACCATAACCACATCCGGTTTTATCGCCCAGGCCCTACCATTAACACATACGGGTTTATCGCCCAGCCCTACCATAACACATACGGTTTTATAGCCCAGCCCTACCATAACACATACGGTTTTTAATCGCCCAGCCCTACCATAAACACATCCGGTTTATCGCCCAGCCCTACCATAACACATCCGGTTTTATCGCCAGCCCTTACCATAACCACATCCGGTTTTATCGCCCAGCCCCTACCATAACACACAACGGTTTTATCGCCCAGCCCTACCATAACACATACGGTTTTATCGCCCAGCCCTACCATAACACATACGGTTTTATCGCCCAGCCCTACCATAACACATCCGGTTTTATCGCCCAGCCCTACCATAACACATCCGGTTTTATCGCCAGCCCTACCATAACACATCCGGTTTTATCGCCCAGCCCTACCATAACACATCCGGTTTTATCGCCCAGCCCTACCATAACACATACGGTTTTATCGCCCAGCCCTACCATAACACATACGGTTTTATAGCCCAGCCCTACCATAACACATACGGTTTTATCTCCCAGCCCTACCATAACACATACGGTTTTATCGCCCAGCCCTACCATAACACATACGGTTTTATCGCCCAGCCCTACCATAACACATACGGTTTTATCGCCCAGCCCTACCATAACACATACGGTTTTATCGCCCAGCCCTACCATAACACATACGGTTTTATCGCCCAGCCCTACCATAACACATACGGTTTTATCGCCCAGCCCTACCATAACACATACAGTTTTATCGCCCAGCCCTACCATAACACATACGGTTTTATAGCCCAGCCCTACCATAACACATACGGTTTTATCGCCCAGCCCTACCATAACACATCCGGTTTTATCGCCCAGCCCTACCATAACACATCCGGTTTTATCTCCCAGCCCTACCATAACACATCCGGTTTTATCTCCCAGCCCTACCATAACACATCCGGTTTTATCTCCCAGCCCTACCATAACACATACGGTTTTATCGCCCAGCCCTACCATAACACATACGGTTTTATCGCCCAGCCCTACCATAACACATACGGTTTTATCGCCCAGCCCTACCATAACACATACGGTTTTATCGCCCAGCCCTACCATAACACATACGGTTTTATCGCCCAGCCCTACCATAACACATACGGTTTTATCGCCCAGCCCTACCATAACACATACGGTTTTATCTCCCAGCCCTACCATAACACATCCGGTTTTATCGCCCAGCCCTACCATAACACATCCGGTTTTATCGCCCAGCCCTACCATAACACATCCGGTTTTATCGCCCAGCCCTACCATAACACATCCGGTTTTATCGCCCAGCCCTACCATAACACATCCGGTTTTATCGCCCAGCCCTACCATAACACATCCGGTTTTATCGCCCAGCCCTACCATAACACATACGGTTTTATCGCCCAGCCCTACCATAACACATACAGTGTTTTCCAGCAGCAGATTATGATGGATAATGTCAAAAGCTGCACTGAAGTCTAACAAAACAGCTCCCAATATTTGTATGATCCATTTTTCTCAGCCAAATCACTCATTAGTGTGAGTTCCATGCATGTTGAATGCCCTTCCCTATTAGCGGGCTGAACATCTGGAGTTCATTTGTTTACTGTGAAATAACATTGTATCTGGTCAAACAAAGTTTTCCGATAGTTTACTAAAGGTTGGGAACAGACTGATTGGTCGGCTATTTGAGCCAGTAAAGGGGGCTTTACTATTCTTAGGTAGCAGAATGACTTTTGCTTCCCTCCAGGCCTGAGGGCAAACACTTTCTAGTAGGCTTAAATTGAAGAGATGGGAAATAGGAGTGGCTATATCGTCCGCTATTATCCTCAGTAATTTTCCATCCAAGTTGTCAGACCCCGGTGGCTTGTCATTGTTGATAGACAACAATAATTTTTTCACCTCTTCCACACTCACTTTACGGAATTAAAAATTACAATGCTTGTCTTTCATAATTTGGTCAGTTATTCATGGTTGTGTATGTTCAGAATTTGTTGTTGGCATGTCATGCCTAAGTTTGCTAATCTTGACAATTAATAAATCATTAAAGTAGTTGGCAATATCAGTGGGTTTTGTGATGAATGAGCCATCTGATTAAATGAATGATGGAGCAGAGTTCGCTTTTCTGCCCAAAATGTAATTGAAGGTGCTCCAAAGCTTTTATTATCATTCTTTATGTCATTTATCTTGTTTCATAGTGAAGTTCTTCTTCTTTTTCAGTTTAGTCACATGATTTCTCCATTTGCAGCACGTTTGACCATCGGCTGTGTAGCCAGACTTATCTGCCATTCCTTTAACCAACCTCCAAGACCTAACTGTAGTCCCTGGCTGCTAAGTCCCTATTTGAGGCAGTAACCAACCTCCAAGACCTAACTGTAGTCCCTGGCTGCTACCAGTCCCTATTTGAGGCATTAATCAACCTCCAAGACCTAACTGTAGTCCCTGGCTGCTAAGTCCCTATTTGAGGCAGTAATCAACCTCCAAGACCTAACTGTAGTCCCTGGCTGCTACCAGTCCCTATTTGAGGCAGTAATCAACCTCCAAGACCTAACTGTAGTCCCTGGCTGCTAAGTCCTTATTTGAGGCAGTAACCAACCTCCAAGACCTAACTGTAGTCCCTGGCTGCTACCAGTCCCTATTTGAGGCAGTAACCAACCTCCAAGACCTAACTGTAGTCCCTGGCTGCTACCAGTCCCTATTTGAGGCAGTAACCAACCTCCAAGACCTAACTGTAGTCCCTGGCTGCTACCAGTCCCTATTTGAGGCAGTAACCAACCTCCAAGACCTAACTGTAGTCCCTGGCTGCTACCAGTCCCTATTTGAGGCAGTAATCAACCTCCAAGACCTAACTGTAGTCCCTGGCTGCTAAGTCCCTATTTGAGGCAGTAATCAACCTCCAAGACCTAACTGTAGTCCCTGGCTGCTACCAGTCCTTATTTGAGGCAGTAATCAACATCCAAGACCTAACTGTAGTCCCTGGCTGCTACCAGTCCCTATTTGAGGCAGTAATCAACCTCCAAGACCTAACTGTAGTCCCTGGCTGCTACCAGTCCCTATTTGAGGCAGTAATCAACCTCCAAGACCTAACTGTAGTCCCTGGCTGCTACCAGTCCCTATTTGAGGCAGTAACCAACCTCCAAGACCTAACTGTAGTCCCTGGCTGCTACCAGTCCCTATTTGAGGCAGTAATCAACCTCCAAGACCTAACTGTAGTCCCTGGCTGCTACCAGTCCCTATTTGAGGCAGTAACCAACCTCCAAGACCTAACTGTAGTCCCTGGCTGCTAAGTCCCTATTTGAGGCAGTAATCAACCTCCAAGACCTAACTGTAGTCCCTGGCTGCTACCAGTCCCTATTTGAGGCAGTAATCAACCTCCAAGACCTAACTGTAGTCCCTGGCTGCTACCAGTCCCTATTTGAGGCAGTAATCAACCTCCAAGACCTAACTGTAGTCCCTGGCTGCTACCAGTCCCTATTTGAGGCAGTAATCAACCTTCAAGACCTAACTGTAGTCCCTGGCTGCTAAGTCCCTATTTGAGGCAGTAATTAACCTCCAAGACCTAACTGTAGTCCCTGGCTGCTAAGTCCCTATTTGAGGCAGTAACCAACCTCCAAGACCTAACTGTAGTCCCTGGCTGCTACCAGTCCCTATTTGAGGCAGTAACCAACCTCCAAGACCTAACTGTAGTCCCTGGCTGCTAAGTCCCTATTTGAGGCAGTAATCAACCTCCAATACCTAACTGTAGTCCCTGGCTGCTACCAGTCCCTATTTGAGGCAGTAACCAACCTCCAAGACCTAACTGTAGTCCCTGGCTGCTACCAGTCCCTATTTGAGGCAGTAATCAACCTCCAAGACCTAACTGTAGTCCCTGGCTGCTAAGTCCCTATTTGAGGCAGTAACCAACCTCCAAGACCTAACTGTAGTCCCTGGCTGCTACCAGTCCCTATTTGAGGCAGTAACCAACCTCCAAGACCTAACTGTAGTCCCTGGCTGCTACCAGTCCCTATTTGAGGCAGTAATCAACCTCCAAGACCTAACTGTAGTCCCTGGCTGCTAAGTCCCTATTTGAGGCAGTAACCAACCTCCAAGACCTAACTGTAGTCCCTGGCTGCTAAGTCCCTATTTGAGGCAGTAACCACCTCCAAGACCTAACTGTAGTCCCTGGCTGCTACCAGTCCCTATTTGAGGCAGTAATCAACATCCAAGACCTAACTGTAGTCCCTGGCTGCTACCAGTCCCTATTTGAGGCAGTAATCAACCTCCAAGACCTAACTGTAGTCCCTGGCTGCTAAGTCCCTATTTGAGGCAGTAACCAACCTCCAAGACCTAACTGTAATCCCTGGCTGCTACCAGTCCCTATTTGAGGCAGTAACCAACCTCCAAGACCTAACTGTAGTCCCTGGCTGCTACCAGTCCCTATTTGAGGCAGTAACCAACCTCCAAGACCTAACTGTAGTCCCTGGCTGCTACCAGTCCATATTTGAGGCAGTAATCAACCTCCAAGACCTAACTGTAGTCCCTGGCTGCTACCAGTCCCTATTTGAGGCAGTAATCAACCTCCAAGACCTAACTGTAGTCCCTGGCTGCTAAGTCCCTATTTGAGGCAGTAACCAACCTCCAAGACCTAACTGTAGTCCCTGGCTGCTACCAGTCCCTATTTGAGGCAGTAACCAACCTCCAAGACCTAACTGTAGTCCCTGGCTGCTACCAGTCCCTATTTGAGGCAGTAACCAACCTCCAAGACCTAACTGTAGTCCCTGGCTGCTACCAGTCCCTATTTGAGGCAGTAACCAACCTCCAAGACCTAACTGTAGTCCCTGGCTGCTACCAGTCCCTATTTGAGGCAGTAACCAACCTCCAAGACCTAACTGTAGTCCCTGGCTGCTACCAGTCCCTATTTGAGGCATTAATCAACCTCCAAGACCTAACTGTAGTCCCTGGCTGCTACCAGTCCCTATTTGAGGCAGTAACCAACCTCCAAGACCTAACTGTAGTCCCTGGCTGCTACCAGTCCCTATTTGAGGCAGTAATCAACCTCCAAGACCTAACTGTAGTCCCTGGCTGCTACCAGTCCCCATTTGAGGCAGTAATCAACCTCCAAGACCTAACTGTAGTCCCTGGCTGCTACCAGTCCCTATTTGAGGCAGTAATCAACCTCCAAGACCTAACTGTAGTCCCTGGCTGCTACCAGTCCCTATTTGAGGCAGTAACCAACCTCCAAGACCTAACTGTAGTCCCTGGCTGCTACCAGTCCCTATTTGAGGCAGTAACCAACCTCCAAGACCTAACTGTAGTCCCTGGCTGCTACCAGTCCCTATTTGAGGCAGTATCCAACCTCCAAGACCTAACTGTAGTCCCTGGCTGCTAAGTCCCTATTTGAGGCAGTAACCAACCTCCAAGACCTAACTGTAGTCCCTGGCTGCTACCAGTCCCTATTTGAGGCAGTAACCAACCTCCAAGACCTAACTGTAGTCCCTGGCTGCTACCAGTCCCTATTTGAGGCATTAATCAACCTCCAAGACCTAACTGTAGTCCCTGGCTGCTAAGTCCCTATTTGAGGCAGTAACCAACCTCCAAGACCTAACTGTAATCCCTGGCTGCTACCAGTCCCTATTTGAGGCAGTAACCAACCTCCAAGACCTAACTGTAGTCCCTGGCTGCTAAGTCCCTATTTGAGGCAGTAACCAACCTCCAAGACCTAACTGTAGTCCCTGGCTACCAGGTAGTGATGCAACCAGTCAGGATGCTCTCGATGGTGCAGCTGTATAACCTTTTGAGGATCTGAGGACCCATGCCAAATCTTTTCAGTCTCCTGAGGGGGAATAGGCTTTGTCGTGCCCTCTTCACGACCGTCTTGGTGTGTTTGGACCATGATAGTTTGTTGGTGATGTGGACACCAAGGAACTTGAAGCTCTCAACCTGTTCCACTACAGCCCCGTCGATGAGAATGGGGGCGTGCTCAGTCCTCTTTTTTTCCCCTGTAGTCCACAATCATCTCCTTTGTCATGGTCACATTGAGGGAGAGGTTGTTATCCTGGCACCACACGGCCAGGTCTCTGACCTCCTCCCTATAGGCTGTCTCATCGTTGTCAGTGATCAGGCCTACCACTGTTGTGTCGTCGGAAAACTTAATGATGGTGTTAGAGTCGTGCCTGGCCATGCAGTCATGGGTGAACAGGGAGTACAGGAGGGGACTGAGCACACACCCCTGAGGGGACCCTGTGTTGAGGATCAGCGTGGCAGATGTGTTGTTACCTACCCTTACCACCTGGGGGCGGCCCGTCACGAAGTCCAGGATCCAGTTGCAGAGGGAGGTGTTTAGTCCCAGGATCCTTAGCTTAGTGATGAGCTTTGAGGGCACTATGGTGTTGAATGCTGAGCTGTAGTCAATGAATAGCATTCTCACGTAGGTGTTCCTCTTGTCCAGGTGGGAAAGGGCAGTGTGGAGCGCAATAGAGATTGCATCATCTGTGGATCTGTTGGGGCGGTATGCAAATTGGAGTGGGGTCTAGGGTTTCTGGGATAATGGTGTTGATGTGAGCCATGACCAGCCTTTCAAAGCACTTCATGGCTAAATACAGTGCTACGGTTCGGTTGTCATTTAGGCAAGTTATCTTAGTGTCCTTGGGCACAGGGACTATGGTGGTCTGCTTGAAACATGTTGGTATTACAGACTCAGTCAGGGACATGTTGAAAATGTCAGTGAAGACACTTGCCAGTTGGTCAGTGCATGCTCTGAGTACACGTCCTGGTAATCCGTCTGGCCCCGCGGCCTTGTGAATGTTGACCTGTTTAAACGTCTTGCTCACATCGGCTATGGAGAGCGTGATCACACAGTCGTCCGGAACAGCTGGTGCTCTCATGCATTCTTCAGTGTTGCTTGCCTCGAAGGGAGCATAGAAGTGATTTAGCTCGTCTGGTAGGCTCGTGTCACTGGGCAGCTCGCGGCTGTGCTTCCCTTTGTAGTCTGTAATAGTTTGCAAGCCCTGCCACATCCGACGAGCGTCAGAGCTGGTGTAGTACGATTCAATCTTAGTCCTGTGTTGATGCTTTGCCTGTTTGATTGTTCGTCGGAGGGCATTGCCGGATTTCTTATAAGTGTCCAGGTTAGAGTCCAGCTCCTTGAAAGCGGCAGCTCTACCCTTTAGCTCAGTGTGGATGTTGCCTGTAATCCATGGCTTCTGGTTGGGGTATGTACATACGGTCACTGTGGGGACGATGTCATCGATGCACTTATTGATGAAGCCAGTAACTGATGTGGTGTACTCCTCAATGCTATGTGAAGAATCCCGGAACATGTTCCAGTCTGTGCTAGCAAAACAGTCCTGTAGCTTAGCATCTGCATCATCTGACCACTTTTTTATTAACCGAGTAACTGGTGCTTCCTGCTTTAGTTTTTGCTTATAAGCAGGAATCAGGAAGATAGAGTTATGGTCAGATTTGCCAAATAGAGGGCGAGGGAGAGCTTTGTATGCGTCTCTGTGTGTGGAGTAAAGGTGGTCTAGAGTTTTTTTTCCCTCTGGTTGCACATTTAACATGCTGGTAGAAATTAGGCAGAACGGATTTAAGTTTCCCTGCATTAAAGTCCCCGGCCACTAGGAGCGCTGCCTCTGGATGAGCGTTTTCCTGTTTACTTATGGCCTTATACAGCTTATTGAGTGCAATCTTAATGCCAGCATTGGTTTGTGGTGGTAAATAGACAGCTATGAAAAATATAGATGAAAACTCTCTTGGTAAATAGTGTGGTCTACAGCTTATCATAAGATACTCTACCTCAAGCGAGCAAAACCTAGAGACTTCCTTAGTATTTGATTTTGTGCACCAGCTGTTGTTTACAAATATACACAGACCGCCAACCCTTGTCTTATCGGAGTCAGCCGTTCTATCCCCGCCCGATGGAGCGTATATCCTGTCAGCTGTATGTTGTCCACGCCGTCGTTCAGCTCCGTATTTGAGGCAGTAACCAACCTCCAAGACCTAACTGTAGTCCCTGGTTGCTAAGTCCGTATTTGAGGCAGTATCCAACCTCCAAGACCTAACTGTAGTCCCTGGCTGCTAAGTCCCTATTTGAGGTAGTAACCAACCTCCAAGACCTAACTGTAGTCCCTGGTTGCTAAGTCCGTATTTGAGGCAGTATCCAACCTCCAAGACCTAACTGTAGTCCCTGGCTGCTACCAGTCCCTATTTGAGGTAGTAACCAACCTCCAAGACCTAACTGTAGTCCCTGGCTGCTAAGTCCTTATTTGAGGCAGTATCCAACCTCCAAGACCTAACTGTAGTCCCTGGCTGCTAAGTCCCTATTTGAGGTAGTAACCAACCTCCAAGACCTAACTGTAGTCCCTGGCTGCTAAGTCCTTATTTGAGGCAGTATCCAACCTCCAAGACCTAACTGTAGTCCCTGGCTGCTACCAGTCCCTATTTGAGGCAGTAACCAACCTCCAAGACCTAACTGTAGTCCCTGGATGCTACCAGTCCCTATTTGAGGCAGTAACCAACCTCCAAGACCTAACTGTAGTCCCTGGCTGCTAAGTCCCTATTTGAGGCAGTAACCAACCTCCAAGACCTAACTGTAGTCCCTGATTGCTAAGTCCGTATTTGAGGCAGTATCCAACCTCCAAGACCTAACTGTAGTCCCTGGCTGCTAAGTCCTTATTTGAGGCAGTAATCAACCTCCAAGACCTAACTGTAGTCCCTGGCTGCTAAGTCCCTATTTGAGGCAGTAACCAACCTCCAAGACCAAAGACTAGGGGGCGGTTATTCCAGAATTCAAATAACGGTGTCCGAAACCCACCCCTCTAGACAAACGCCAATGTTATGTCCACTGGATGGAATCAGACAAACGCCAATGTTATGTCCACTGGATGGAATCAGACAAACGCCAATGTTATGTCCACTGGATGGAATCAGACAAACGCCAATGTTATGTCCACTGGATGGAATCAGAAATTGAGGAACCTTTAATGCAGATGTTTGTAAAGGTCATCCATTCATCCTTTCCTCACCTTGCGTTTGAAGGTTTGACAGGCAGGCCATATATAATATAAATATAATATATAAACTCACCAGGTAATATATATATATAATATGAATATATAAACTCACCAGGTCATATATAAGCTCACCAGGTCATACAGTGCATTCGGAAAGTATTCCCCTTGACTTTTTCCAGATTTTGTTTAAATTACAGCCTTAATCTAAAATTGATTAAATAAAAAATGTTCCTCATCAATCTACACACAATACCCCATGGCGGCAGGTAGCTTAGTGGTTAAGAGCGTTGTGCCAGTAACCGAAAGGTCGCTGGTTCTAATCCCCAAGCCGACTAGGTGAAAAATCTGTCGATGTGCCCTTGAGCAAGGCACTTAACCCTAATTGCTCCTGTAAGTCGCTCTGGATAGGAGCGTCTGCTAAATGACTAAAATGTAAATGTAATGACAAAGTGAAAACAGGTTTTTAGAAATATCTTATTTACATAAGTATTCAGATCCTTTGCTATGAGACTCGAAATTGAGCTCAGGTGCATCCTGTTTCCATTGATTATCCTTGAGATGTTTCTACAACTTGATTGGAGTCCACCTGTGGTAAATTCAATTGATTGGACATGATTTGGAAATGCACACACCTCTATATAAGGTCCTACAGTTGACAGTGCATGTCAGAGCAAAAACAAAGCCATGAGGTCGAAATAATTGTCCGTAGAGCTCTGAGACAGGATTGTATCGAGGCACAGATCTGGGGAAGAGTACCAAAACATGTCTGCAGCATTGAAGGTCCCCAAGAACACAGTGGCCTCCATCATTCTTAAATGGAAGAAGTTTGGAACCACCAAGATTCTTCCTAGAGCTGGCCGCCCGGCCAAACGGGGGAGAAGGGCCTTGGTCAGGGAGGTGACCAAGAGCCCGATGGTCACTCTGCAAGAGCTCCAGAGTTCCTCTGTGGAGATGGGAGAACCTTCCAGAAGGACAACCATCTCTGCAGCACTCCACCAATCAGGCCTTTATGGTAGAATGGCCAGACGGAAGCCTCTCCTCAGTAAAAGGCAAATGACAGCCCACTTGGAGTTTGCCAAAAGGCACCTAAAGGACTCTCAGACCATGAGAAACAAGATTCTCTGGTCTGATGAAACCAAGATTGAACTCTTTGGCCTGAATGCCAAGCGTCACGTCTGGAGGAAACCTGGCACCATCCCTACGGTGAAGCATGGTGGTGGCAGCATCATGCTGTGGGGATGATTTTCAGCGGCAGGGACTGGGAGACTAGTCAGGATCGAGGGAAAGATGAACAGAGCAAAGTACAGAGAGATCCTTGGTGAAAACCTGCTCCAGGGCGCTCAGGACTGGGGCGAAGGTTCACCTTCCAACAGGAAAACGACCCTAAGCACACAGCCAAGACAAGGCAGGAGTGGCTTCGGGACAAGTCTCTGAATGTCCTTGAGTGGCCCAGCCAGAGTCCAGACTTCAACCCGATCGAACATCTCTGGAGAGACTTGAAAATCGCTGTGCAGCAACGCTCCCCATCCAACTTGACAGAGCTTGAGAGGATCTGCAGAGAAGAATGTGAGAAACTCCCCAAATACTGTTGTGCCAAGCTTGTAGCCTTACTGAAGAGCTCTGACTTTCAACGTGGTACCGTCATAGGATGCCACCTTTCCAACAAGTCAGTTCGTGAAGGAGCAACAACGGCTAAGATCACCATGCCCAATGCCAAGCGTCGGCTGGAGTGGTGTAAAGCTCGCTGCCATTGGACTCTGGAGCAGTGGAAATGCGTTCTTCGGAGTGATGAATCACACTTTGACCATCTGTCAGTCCGACAGACGAATCAGGGTTTAGTGGATGCCAGGAGAACGCTACCTGCCTGAATGCATAGTGCCAACTGTAACGTTTGGTGGAGGAGGAATGTTTGGGGCTGTTTTTCATGGTTCAGGTTAGGCCCCTTAGTTCCAGTGAAGGGAAATCTTAACGCTACAGCATACAACGACATTCTAGACGATTCTGTGCTTCCAACTTTGTGGCAACAGTTCGGGGGAAGGCCCTTTCCTGTTTCAGCATGACAATGCCCCCGTGCACAAAGCGAGGTCTATACAGAAATGGTTTGTTGAGATCGGTGTGGAAGAACTTGACTGGCCTACACAGAGCCCTGACCTCAACCCCATCGAAACACCTTTGGGATGAATTGGAACGCTGACTGCGAGCCAGGCCTAATCGCCCAACATCAGTGCCCGACCTCACTAATGCTCTTGTGGCTGAATGGAAGCAAGTCCCCTCAGCATTGTTCCAACATCTAGTGGAAAGCCTTCCCAGAAGAGTGGAGGCTGTTATAGCAGCAAAGGGGGGACCAACTCCATATTAATGTTCATGATTTTGGAATGAGATGTTTGACGAGCAGGTGTTCACATACTGTTGGTCATGTAGTGTAAATCAAACATGAAATGTGATACTGTAACTAGGCCTATAGTGTCCTTAACTAGCATTGAAAAAGTACATCCATTATTCTCTAGCTAATTAAAAAGGTCTCCCTATCTTCTGAATAAAGCTTGTAATGTCAGTAGAGGAGCCTCTGCTTCGGAGGGGGGAGGGGCTGGTAGCCTAAACACACACAGGCAAAGATCTTCAGCTTGCAGGCAGACAGAATACGTTTCTGAGTGACAGAGAGGGCTTTACATAGGCTCTTTGTTCCGTTTTGTTGTGGGACTAGAAAGAAATACCTGGAATGTAAAATTGCGTTATTAACCGGTTCTCATGCTTTTAAAATAACAGTTCTGTTTCGGAACCGTATGGATCACTTTCCTTCCAGGTTCCGTTTCTGTTGTTGAAAAATGCCGTTATTTTCCGGTTTTCGGTTCTGTTCCCTGAACTTGTTCCAACCCTGGATATAAACTCACCTTGCATTTGAAGGGTTTGACGGGCAGGTGGACGATCATGTGCGTTTTGAGCGTCTGTTTCTGGATGAAGCTCTTGAAGCAGATGTGACACTGGAAGGGTCTGATGCTGTTGTGGATCAACATGTGTCTCTTCAGGTTGGCTGACAAGGTGAACTCACGGGAACACACCTCACACTTATGACCCTTCATTCCCTGACCAATAAGAACACAGGAGGACAGTTAGATGAGGACCTGACCAATAAGAACACAGCATAACAGTTAGATGAGGACCTGACCAATAAGAACACAGCATAACAGTTAGATGAGAACCTGACCAATAAGAACACAGGAGGACAGTTAAATGGAAGACCTGACCAATAAGAACACAGGAGGACAGTTAGATGTGGACCTGACCAATAAGAACACAGCATAACAGTTAGATGAGGACCTGACCAATAAGAACACAGGAGGACAGTTAAATGGGGGACCTGACCAATAAGAACACAGGAGGACAGTTAAATGGAGGACCTGACCAATAAGAACACAGGAGGACAGTTAGTGCCTTCGGAAAGTATTCAGACCCCTTGACTTTTTCCACACGTTACAGCCTTATTCTCAAATTGATATTTATTTATTTTTACCCTTAGCAATCTAAACACAATACCCCATAATGACAAAGTGAAAACAGGTTTTTAGAAATGTTTGCAAATGTATTAAAAAATAAGTATCCTTTGCTATGAGACTCGAAATTGAGCTCAGGTGCATCCTGTTCCATTTATCATCCTTGAGATGTTTCTACAACTTGACTGGAGTCCACCTGTGGTAAATTCAATTGATTGGACATGATTTGGAAAGGCACACACAATTCGAAGGAATTGTCCGTAGAGCTCCGAGACAGGATTGTGTCGAGGCACAGATCTGGGGAAGGGTACCCAAACATTTCTGCAGCATTGAAGGTCCGGAAGAACACAGTGGCCTCCATCATTCTTAAGTGGAAGACGTTTGGAACCACCAAGATTCTTCCTAGAGCTGGCCGCCCGGCCAAACTGAGCAATCGGGGGAGAAGGGCCTTGGTCAGGGAGGTGACCAAGAACCCGATGGTCACTCTGACAGAGCTCCAGAGTTCCTCTGTGGCGATGGGTGAACCTTCCAGAAGGACAACCATCTCTGCAGCACTGCATCAATCAGGCCTTTATGGTAGAGTGGCCAGACAGAAGCCACTCCTCAGTAAAAGGCACATTACAGACCGCTTGGAGTTTGCCACAAGGCACCTAAAGACTCTCAGACCATGAGAAACAAGATTCTCTGGTCTGATGAAACCAAGATTGAACTCTTTGGCCTGAATGCCAATCGTCACGTCTGGAGGAAACCTGGCACCATCCCTACGGTGAAGCATGGTGGTGGCAGCATCATGCTGTGGGGATGTCTTTCAGCGGCAGGGACCGGGAGACTAGTCAGGATCAAGACAAAGATGAACGGAGCAAATTACAGAGAGATCCTTGATGAAAACCTGCTCCAGAGCGCTCAGGACCTCAGACTGGGGCGAAGGTTCACCTTCCAACAGGACAACGACCCTAAGCACACAGCCAAGACAATGCAGGAGTGGCTTCAGGACAAGTCTCTGAATGTCCTTGAGTGGCCCAGCCAGAGTCCAGACTTCAACCCGATTGAACATCTCTAGAGAGACCTGAAAATAGCTGTGCAGTGACGCTCCCCATCCAACCTGACAGAGCTTGAGAGGATCTGCAGAGAAGAATGTGAGAAACTCCCCAAATACAGGTGTGCCAAGCTTGTAGCGTCATACCCAAGAAGACTCGATGTTGTAATCGCTGCCAAAGGTGCTTCAACAAAGTACTGAGTAAAGGGTCTGAATACTTATGTAAATGTGATATTTCCAGAGTTTTTTAATTTACAAATTAGCAAAAATGTCTAAAAACCTGTTTTTGCTTTGTCCTTATGGAGAATTGTGTGTAGATTGAGGAGGAAAACAATGTATTGAATCAATTTTAGAATAAGGCTGTAATATAACAAAATGTGGAAAAAGTCAAGGGGTCTGAATACTTCCTGAAGGCACTGTAGATGAGGACCATTGCAGCAAAATGAACATGAAGTCAGTCAAAATTCTGTAAAGAAGCGAGGGTGTGCTGGCAGAGGGTTATGGTTAAGGGTCAGGGGTCAGAGTTAGGTACCTTGTGTGTGAGGGTGTGCTGGCAGAGGGTTATGGTTAAGGGTCAGGGGTCAGAGTTAGGTACCTTGTGTGTGAGGGTGTGCTGGCAGAGGGTTATGGTTAAGGGTCAGGGGTCAGAGTTAGGTACCTTGTGTGTGAGGGTGTGCTGGCAGAGGGTTATGGTTAAGGGTCAGGGGTCAGAGTTAGGTACCTTGTGTGTGAGGGTGTGCTGGCGGAGGGTTATGGTTAAGGGTCAGGGGTCAGAGTTAGGTACCTTGTGTGTGAGGGTGTGCTGGCGGAGGTGGTGTAGCTGGACAAACTCCAGTCCGCAGTGGGAGCAGGAGTACGGCCGAGGACTCTGGTGTTTCAGTAGATGGTTCTGCAGCTGGCTGCGGTAGGTGAAGGACTTGTTGCACTCTGTACACTGGTAGGTAGTGGCTCCCTGGTGGCTGGTCTGGTGGCGCTTCAGATGGGCGTAGGTGGGGAACTCCATGCCACACTGGGAACACACGTGGCAGCGCCCGCGCTCGTGTTTGGTCTCGTGGGCGCGGAGCTCGCTGGGGTAGGCGAAGCCACGGCGACAGAAGCGGCAGCTGTAAGGTTTGATGTCGGTGTGCTGCAGCATGTGTCTCTTCAGGTGGGAGGTCTGGGTGAAACCCTTCTTACACACGCTGCATTTATGAGGCCTTGTTCCCTGGTGGGTGAGCAGGTGGGTCTGCAGGTGGCTGGGCTGTTTAAACAGCTTCCCACAGTGGGGGCAGGCGTGGGGCTTGATACCCTGGTGACCCAGGATGTGAGTTACCAGGTTGTACTTGGAGGTGTAAGACTTGTCACACATACGACACTTCCATCTCTTCAGCCCCTCCCCCACGTCCACGCAGTACGACTCATCTATCTGGATGTTGATGTCTAGACGGTCAACCCTCCGGCCATGGTGACGATGGGTCCCTCCTCTTCCTCCTCCTCCCCCCACCCCCTGCTCCAGCTGGTCGCCCCACATCATACCCTGGCTGTTCTCATGGTAGATCTCCCCCCCCTCATACCCCCCCACCTCGCTGGACTGGAAGTAGCTGCTGATAGTCTCCTCCTGTCCTCCTTTCATCATGCTGTTTCTCTGCTCCACCTCTCCCTCCTCCTCCTCCTCCCCCCTCCCTCTCGCCTGATGCCCCAGCCCCCTCTGCCCCTGCAGGCCTCGATGCCCCGGCTCCCCTTTATGGCTGTGGCCGGCCTGGGAGTGTGCGTTAGCCTGCTGGCTGGACATGTCTCTGTCACACTCGGCACAGCCTTTTTGGGCAGCGGCACGGAGAGAGGCGGGGTCAACCTGGACCAATCCCCCTCTAGTAGTAGCTAGGTTGTTCAGCATGTGGACACAGGACGTCAGGCCAGAGATAACCCCCTCCCCTTTCACTTGGGATGACCCGTCCACAGGCACTCCAGCATGGCGCTCGGGCCCTACCATCTTCCCCTCGGGGGGTGGTCCGTGCCACCTCCTCTGGCTACAGCTGGGCTGCATGTGTCCGTCTTCAGGCAGGTTGTCTCCCAGGTAATCTCCGTTAGCTCCTATCAGCTGATCAGCGTATTCGTAGTCCACCCCCTCTACAGGCAGGGCAGGGGACTCTTTAGGTTCTCCTGTGTAGAAGCCATTAGGAGCGATGGTAGCACCAAACACCTCATTCTGAGAGATGAGCCCCAGCACAGCAGCCTGGGCTAGAGACAGAACCACCACAGGATCAGTCTGAGTGCCAGAATCAACCTGTCTGGCCATAGCCCTGGGCTCACATCTAACCAGGTGCCTGCTGGCTTCCTCCTAAGACACAAACAGGGAGAGAGACAGGGTTAGGGTTAGGGTTAGGGTTAGTACTGCTGTCAACACATCATCTTTACAAACTACGATAATATCACCTATCAGCCCCTGGTCAACCATCATCAATAATATCACCTATCAGCCCCTGGTCAACCATCATCAATAATATCACCTATCAGCCCCTGGTCAACCATCATCAATAATATCACCTATCAGCCCCTGGTCAACCATCATCAATAATATCACCTATCAGCCCCTGGTCAACCATCATCAATAATATCACCTATCAGCCCCTGGTCAACCATCATCAATAATATCACCTATCAGCCCCTGGTCAACCATCATCAATAATATCACCTATCAGCCCTGGTCAACCATCATCAATAATATCACCTATCAGCCCCTGGTCAACCATCATCAATAATATCACCTATCAGCCCCTGGTCAACCATCATCAATAATATCACCTATCAGCCCCTGGTCAACCATCATCAATAATATCACCTATCAGCCCTGGTCAACCATCATCAATAATATCACCTATCAGCCCCTGGTCAACCATCTCAATAATATCACCTATCAGCCCCTGGTCAACCATCATCAATAATATCACCTATCAGCCCCTGGTCAACCATCATCAATAATATCACCTATCAGCCCCTGGTCAACCATCATCAATAATATCACCTATCAGCCCCTGGTCAACCATCATCAATAATATCACCTATCAGCCCCTGGTCAACCATCATCAATAATATCACCTATCAGCCCCTGGTCAACATCATCATAATATCACCTATCAGCCCCTGGTCAACCATCATCAATAATATCACCTATCAGCCCCTGGTCAACCATCATCAATAATATCACCTATCAGCCCCTGGTCAACCATCATCAATAATATCACCTATCAGCCCCTGGTCAACCATCATCAATAATATCACCTATCAGCCCCTGGTCAACCATCATCAATAATATCACCTATCAGCCCCTGGTCAACCATCATCAATAATATCACCTATCAGCCCCTGGTCAACCATCATCAATAATATCACCTATCAGCCCCTGGTCAACCATCATCAATAATATCACCTATCAGCCCCTGGTCAACCATCATCAATAATATCACCTATCAGCCCCTGGTCAACCATCATCAATAATATCACCTATCAGCCCCTGGTCAACCATCATCAATAATATCACCTATCAGCCCCTGGTCAACCATCATCAATAATATCACCTATCAGCCCCTGGTCAACCATCATCAATAATATCACCTATCAGCCCCTGGTCAACCATCATCAATAATATCACCTATCAGCCCCTGGTCAACCATCATCAATAATATCACCTATCAGCCCCTGGTCAACCATCATCAATAATATCACCTATCAGCCCCTGGTCAACCATCATCAATAATATCACCTATCAGCCCCTGGTCAACCATCATCAATAATATCACCTATCAGCCCCTGGGTCAAAACCATCATCAATAATATCAACCTATCCGCCCCTGGTCAACCATCATCAATACTATACACCTATCCGCCCTGTCAACCATCATCAATAATAATCACCTAGCACAGCCCGGTCAACCATCATCAATAATATCACCTCATCAAATATCACCTAGGTCACCATCATCATATATCACCTATCAGCCCCTGGTCAACCACATCAATATATCACCTATCAGCCCCTGGTCAAACCATCATCAATAATATCACACACCCCTGGTCAACCATCATCTATATCATAACACAACGAGTAGCCTATCAGTTAAGAGCATTGGGCCAGTAACCAAAGGTCGTTGGGGTGAGGAAGAGAGAGAGAGAGAGAGAGAGAGAGAGAGAGAGCAGAGAGAGAGAGAGAGGAGAGAAGAGAGAAGAGAGGCGAGAGATATAGAGAGAAGCGAGAGGAGAGAGAGCTGGAGATAGAGAGACGAGACTATTATAGCAGAGATCGATATCTCGAGCGACGATGCCTCTCTCTCAGACTCTATTCTCCTTTCTCTTCGCTCGCGTCTCTCGCTCTTCTCTCTTCCTCTCTTCGCTTCTCTCTCTGCTCTCTCTCTCTCTCTCTCCTTCTCTGCTCCCCCGCGTCCCTCACTCCTTGCTTCTGCGCGCTGTTTGTTCGTTCGTTCCGCCTCTCTCCTTCCCCTCCCGCCCTCTTGCTGCTCTTCTTTCCTACTTTCGCGTCTCATTGTGCCCGCTCTTTCGCTTGTTCTACTTGCCTCTCATCTGCCAAGATATTACAAATGCAACAAATGAAAGATTCAATCATGAAGAGAAAGAGAGACCGAGAGAGAGAGAGAGAGACCGAGAGAGAGATAAGAGCTTTAAACAGACATTTGAGGCTGTTGGGACAGAAATGTGGAGTTAGAGAAAGATTTCACCTAAAAGGAGGGAGAACGTTTTAAACAACAACTATCACATTTTCTCCTTCTCAACACTCTCAAACTATTCACCACTAAACCACACTACTGAACACACCAAAGGGAAATGTTAACCTTAATCCTGTGGTTACCAGCCCAGAACTCACCACATTCTTCCTGTTGTGATGTTTCAGGTGCTTCAAGGACCTCATTCTCCAGACAGAGAGACTCAGAGAGAGAGAAGAGAGGAAACGTTCTGCTCCCATTTATAGTCAGGAAGAAGGAGGCGGCCCTTCTGGCTCCTCCCCCACCACAGCTCGCTCTCGCTCTCTCTCTCTCTCTCTCTCTCTCTCTCTCTCTCTCTCTCTCTCTCTCTCTGTCTGTCTGTTTCTCTCTCTCTCTCTCTCTCTCTCTCTCTGTTCTCTCTCTCTCTCTCTCTCTCTCTCTCTGTTCTCTCTCTCTCTCTCTCTCTCTCAAAATGGGAGGGAGCGTCAAGTGAGGCAGGGAGAGAGAATGATTAAGAAGAGAGGAACAGAATGCGGTAAAAAGAAGGAGAAGAAATGGAAGATAGAAAGAAAATCAGAGATAAGAGATGGAAAGACATGTGTGTTAGTGTAACTGAAATACAAATAGAGATCTAAGATCCATGTTTCTCCTAATGTTAATCACTAATATATGTTCCAGTATGTTGAACAGGTAAGAAACACTGGCCCATACCAAACAGACAAGGCCTCATTTCAGACATCAGTTCAACATTAATACCATGTTGATAGTGGATGATGGTTGTTGGTGGCTCAGTATTTGAGTGAAAGGTGAACTCTGAACTTTGAGTGTTAAGGTCAGGTGGTGTATACACACAAGGGTACAAAACTATGAACGCCTGCTCTTTCCATGCCAGACTGACCAGGTGAAAGCTATGAACGCCTGCTCTTTCCATGCCAGACTGACCAGGTGAAAGCTATGAACGCCTGCTCTTTCCATGACAGACTGACCAGGTGAAAGCTATGAACGCCTGCTCTTTCCATGCCAGACTGACCAGGTGAAAGCTATGAACGCCTGCTCTTTCCATGCCAGACTGACCAGGTGAAAGCTATGAAACGCCTGCTCTTTCCATGCCAGACTGACCAGGTGAAAGCTATGAACGCCTGCTCTTTCCATGCAGACTGACCAGGTGAAAGCTATGAACGCCTGCTCTTTCCATGACAGACTGACCAGGTGAAAGCTATGAACGCCTGCTCTTTCCATGACAGACGACCAGGTGAAAGCTATGAACGCCTGCCCTTTCCATGCCAGACTGACCAGAGTGAAAGCTATGAACGCCTGCTCTTTCCATGCAGACTGACCAGGTGAAAGCTATGAACGCCTGCTCTTTCATGCCAGACTGACCAGGTGAAAGCTATGAACGCCTGCTCTTTCCATGCCAGACTGACCAGGTGAAAGCTATGAACGCCTGCTCTTTCCATGACAGACTGACCAGGTGAAAGCTATGAACGCCTGCTCTTTCCATGCCAGACTGACCAGGTGAAAGCTATGAACGCCTGCTCTTTCCATGCCAGACTGACCAGGTGAAAGCTATGAACGCCTGCTCTTTCCATGCCAGACTGACCAGGTGAAAGCTATGAACGCCTGCTCTTTCCATGCAGACTGACCAGGTGAAAGCTATGAACGCCTGCTCTTTCCATGCCAGACTGACCAGGTGAAAGCTATGAACGCCTGCTCTTTCCATGACAGACTGACCAGGTGAAAGCTATGAACGCCTGCTCTTTCCATGACAGACTGACCAGGTGAATCCAGGTGAAAGCTATGAACGCCTGCTCTTTCCATGCCAGACTGACCAGGTGAAAGCTATGAACGCCTGCTCTTTCCATGCCAGACTGACCAGGTGAATCCAGGTGAAAGCTATGATCCCTTATTGATGTCACCTGTTAAATCAACTTCAATCAGTGTTGTTGAAGGGGAGGAGCCAGATGAAAGAAGGATTTTTAAGCCTTGAGACATGGATTGTGTTTGTGTGCCATTCAGAGAGTGAACGGGCAAGACAAAGTGTCTTTGAACGGGGTATGGTAGTAGGTACCAGGCGCACTGGTTTGTGTCAAGAACTGCAACGCTGCTGGGTTTTTCACGCTCAACAGTTTCCCGTGTGAATGGTCCACCACCAGCCTCGCAACCGTAGACCACGTGTAACCACGCCAACCCAGGACCTCCACATCCGGCTTCTTCACCTGCGGGATCGTCTAAGACCAGCCACCCGGACAGCTGATGAAACTGCACTAATTGTCAAAAAGCGTCTCAGGGAAGCTCATCTGCATCCTCACCAGGGTCTTGACCTGACTGCAGTTCGGTGTCGTAACCAACTTCAGTGGGCAAATGCTCACCGTCGATGGCCACTGGCAGGCTGGAGAAGTGTGCTCTTCAGGGATGAATCTCAGTTTCAACTCTACCGGGCTGATATCAACGTTGTGAACAGAGTGCCCCATGGTGGCGGTGGGGTTATGGTATGGGCAGGCATAAGCTATGGACAATGAACAGAATTGCATTTTATCTATGCCAATTTTAATGCACAGAGACACTGTGACGAGATCCTGAGGCCCATTGTTGTGCCATCCAGCCGCCACCATCACCTCATGTTTCAGCATGATAATGGACGGCACCATGTCACAAGGAACTGGACACAATTCCTGGAAGCTGAAAATGTCCCAGTTCTTCATTGGCCTACATACTCACCAGACTTGTCACCCATTGAGCATGTTTGGGAAGCTCTGGATCGACGTGTACGACAGCGTGTTCCAGTTCCCACCAATATCCAGTAACTTCACACAGCCATTGAAGAGGAATGGGAGAACATTCCACAATCAACAGCCTGAGCAACTCTATGCGAAGGAGATGTGTCGCGCTGCATGAGGCAAATGGTGGTCACACCAGATACTAACTGGTTCTGATCCACGCACCTACCTTTTTTAAAGGGATCTGTGACCAACAGATTAATATCTGTATTCCCAGTCATGTGAATTCCATAGAATAGGGCCTACTTAATTTATTTAAATTGACTGATTTCCTTATATGAACTCAGTCAAATCTTTGAAATTGTTGCATGTTGCGTTCATATTTTTGTTCAGTGTAGTTTCCTCAGATGCTCTTCTGTTGTGAAACCAACCAGGTTGATAGTTACACTATAAGAATACTGACTGAATCAAATCATTATGAATCACAACTGAACTGGATGCCTGCCGATAGACTTAAACCAATAAGGTCTAGTCTCTAGGGAAACAGTGATAGGTGTTCTCTTCATGTGACTAGGCTGATGCCCGATGCCTGGTACTGAAAATCCGCTCATTTCCTATACTGTAGTCAATTCATATACTGTAGTGAAAATATACTGTAGTGAAATTATCCAGTCATTTCATATACAGTAGTCAATTCATCCAGTCATTTCATATACTGTAGGGAATTCATCCAGTCATTTCATATACAGTAGTCAATGCATCCAATCACTTCATATACAGTAGTGAATTCATCCAGTAATTTCATATACAGTAGTGAATTCATCCAATCACTTCATATACAGTAGTGAATTCATCCAGTCATTTCATATACAGTAGTGAATTCCGGGACTTGAACCTGGGACCCTGAGAATGTCAGTTCAACACTACACTAGTACTGGGGGAAACTGAGCTCAACAGCGTCCCCTGGTCCATCAGCACGTTGTGTATTACAGAGATGGACAGCTGTGGAACCCAGCCAACAGCCATGACCCACAGAGGAGCAGACATTGTGTTTGTAATAGACAGTATGTGGGACAACATGGTTCTAATGAGTAATGGTTGGACACCGACACACTGGGACACTTCTAGAGCTAACTAACACTAGCTTTAAGTAGATCATATTCACATAGGTTTGTTCACAAAGTACATTTCTGAATCAAATATCAGTTAGTAAAGTTTGTATAATAAATGGTCTGGAAAGGGGAAA